AACGTTTCCTGATACCGATTTAAAAAAGTGTAAATTTAAATTAAATACATTTAATATTTTAATTTTTAATAAAGAAGCTATAATCAGTCATCGAAGTCATCAGATATTTATGATAATATGAAAGCTTTAATTAATTTTTTCCTTTGAAAAAATTTAAGAGGATTTAATAACTGTGCCAACTCAGACTGGAAGAATTGTCTTCATTTATGGAACTGATGTATTCAATAGGGAATCTCTAGTGCTTTTCAGTAATTCTCAATTAATAAAATGCATTCATATATCGAAATGGAATGACAATCTTATTCTGGTTCATACACAGAGAAAATTGATTGATCAGCTTAATTAGGCCTACTAGGTAGGACTAGTGTCCTAACTTGTTATTTAGGTAAATTAGAGGGTCAGGAGTGCTTGAATATTTCATTTATCTAAAAGATGAACATCCATATAGGCAGAACATAACTGAGTCCAAATATAATCTCGCCATTCCCTTATGAGTTAAAAGTCAGTTCAACCCTTTTACCATTTTATTCCATCCCATAAGCATTCAAGACATATTGAATCTTTTGAATTATGAGGAGGCTTTTCCATCTTCTGTCGTTCTCATGGGTAAAATTATGGAAGGCATTTTTTGTTGTGATAATTGGAATGCCTAAAAGCATATATATAGCATCTACCACAGATGGCAATCCCTTCGATTCATCATCTATGATTTCTTCTTGTCCATCAGTTACTAGAATATAGCATAATTTTGTTAAAATTAAATCTTTTTAATTGAATTTATTTATTCAAGCTTAGGAGTTTCTCTTGCTTCTTGTGTTAATCTCAAGTTAGATTTACATATAATGTTAGGGAATTTCACATCCGTAGTCAATAACAAAGTATTCCAGTCCTCTATAGAATATTATTTAAGTTGTCAAAACTATTCTTTCATCACATTTTGTGGGAGACTTGTCTTCAGAGTCATCTCTAGGTTCTTGATGTCTCTTAATTCAGCTATTAAATAATAAAATGTTCCTTAGAATAAATTTTAATTTCTTTGAACTCAATTAATAATTGTAATAGAAATCCTAATAATTAATTATAATATAAATCAATAAATTATTCCAATTTTTAGAATGTTGTCTAAGATAATGACATTCTTATTTGAATATCTTATAGATTATTTATTTAAGCCTCATAGAATTGCAGATTAAAGTCTTTCTTTGTATTTGCATTATAATTATACTATATAAATCTTTTATAAAGAAAAATTTTAGTACATAATACGCCATATTTGTTTCTATATGTATAAACATTGTTTGTGAATATAATATTTTTGGGCAAATCAAACTTTGAGTTGTTTTGCGTTGATTATATAGAAAAAATTGATTTCTCAACTTTTAATACCTGAAAAGCATAAAATTATATAATAATGACATATTCAATTCTTATTTAATGTCATTATCTTTTACATATTATTTCAGCAGGAACGAATCAAAATTGAAAAACTTTAATTATTTTTATGTAAAAAACATTTTTAGTATCAGGATTGACACTCCTTTTAAGCACAATTGGTTACATCCAAAATCAATAACCTGTTGATACTGTCTAAAGGGCATTTTAAAGTTTTAAGATAAGATATATGAAGACTTACAATAAAGCTGAGGAAGCTTTTAGAAGAGCCATCTTTGAATAGAACTTTGCAAAAATTTTAGCTCACAATACTGAGAGGAAATTTACATACTTAGCTATTATCAATCAATTCTCAGATTTGACTTAAGATGAATTTGTTGCCATCTATTTGACCTATACTCCACCTGAGGGATGGTAACCATCAGATGAAGATGTTGTTTAAGAAGGTGTTAAACCAAATGACTCAGTTGATTGGAGATCGCAAGTTCATGTTAAAAACCAAGCAAGTTGTGGTTCTTGTTGGGCCTTTTCTGCAGTTGGTGCTGTAGAAGCTTTCTTTAAAATCGTAAAAGGAGAAGATTACAGTTTATCTGAATAATAATTAATTGATTTTGATAAGGCTAAAAACAGAGGATGTAATGGAGGATATCCAGACTTAGCTATCAAATATATTGCAACTAATGGAGTCGATCCTGAAAATTACTATCCTTATATGGCTATAGATTAAGCATGTGCAGATGAAACAGGATCAATAAAAAATTCAGGTGTTTAAAGCATT